AAGAGTATAATCGGCGAAGAAAGATGGCAAGAATTAAAATTTTTAAGATTTTCAAATATTAAATTAGCGTCGATAATTATGACTGTCTATAATTATCGACATTCGGTAATTAAAAATTGATTTACCAATGTCAGTAATTTAAAAATCTCGAAAATATAAACTCTGAACATCGAGAAAGTATCAAGAGAATCTAATAATAAGTAGAGATGGGGCGGGAATCAAATTTTTCAAAAATCGCGATCCAGGAATTCCTTAGATTTTTAATAAAATTATTATCTCTTAAAGATATTATCGAGCTATTTTTTTTTTTCCTTCGCAAACTCAATCAGCGCGAAAACCGTCTGTTCAGCGCTGTTCGTCGTGACCCATTATCGGACCAGTCATACATCCACGAGTCTGCGTGGCCCGCGTCGGTTCTTCTGCGTCATACTTGTGCGAGGGAAACGTCAAATTCTTTAGGTGGGGGCCACGAGGACGAAGCTCGCGCTTGGCAGTCCACAGCTGTCGCTTAGGCTGGCTTAAGCAAAGATGGCTACCATGTTATCGCGGACGATTTCGCTCGCAGAGGGTCTCTGCCGATTGAACGGTCCTAAGGTACGTCAAGCCAACCGGTTTTTGCGTGTACCATTTTAATTAAATGTCTGGCACGGAGTCCAAAGAAACGAGCAAAATGTCCTGATAATCGCGACGACAAATCGATGGGAGGGAAAGAAAGAGAATAAGAGACGAAGAGGGAGAGAGAAAGAGGCAATCGCCGTACTAGAAACGACTGTAGTCTGCTAAATTGAGCGCCAGGGTCGCGAGTGATTTGAAGAGCCCAAGAATCTTGGAGGCGAGATTTTTTACCGAAAAATCAACAGTTATGCAACTGCGCGGAAAATTTACTTGCGCGTCGTTCCCTCGACGGCCGCGGCATCCGCTCTCGTGTGTGATTGCATATAATCGAATTATGTATGTACTACGTGCAAAGGGACACTTGTCAAACGATCGAGCACTCGGATTAATGATGCGATCGTCGTTCTATTTTTGGACGAGTGATTTAAATTTTTGAACCGCGAGAAAGAAAATATTGACGATCGCACACTTCTTTTCTTTATCGGAATTGGCACTTGTCAGCGATGCGCGATTTTGAAATTTATAAACAAGAATAAAGATATATTAAATGTGCTGACACGCACGTGCTTGACACTTGTCAAAACTTGTTTCATGATATATAAAAAAACTTGAATTTTTAATTAAAAAATGATTATATATATATATAAACTATCGATAGAGTAAAGTATTAATTTTAATTTAATTTTGTCATATTCTCTTTAATTTTATCATCGATCTTTTTTCATTAATTATAGATAATTATGAAACAAAATTTAAATGTTAAATACAGTTCCATTCATAATACTTTGTGATATTTTATTTAATATGCTTTTATAAAATAAAATAATTTGCAAAGAGTGTTTTATTTTTTAATTATCTAAAAATGATTTAAGTATTAACATTCTACTTTAGAAAGAGTCAGCAATAAATTGATAAAGAATAATTTGTTGGACACAATTCACTTTTATTGTATATAAAGCATCATTGCCAAAGCTCTACATATAGCAGCTGCAATGTACGCAATATCAGTATATAGTTCATAGATCATGCAGCCTTCAAGAGTTAATTTCAATCATAGATTTATATTTGAATTTCTATACATTAATCATACACATTAATATTATATATTAGTGATAGACTCTACTTCATGTGTACTTTAATCTACTCATCTTATCTTATTCTCTTGATATAAATGAATGTGTCAATAATTTTTATCAACCTTTGTGCTTATTCTTGTAATTGTATGTTTGCATATCCTTGTTATAATCCAAACAAGCGCGAGAATGATTACCAAGTTTATTACATCACAAATTCTTTTTTTCAGATATTGGCATGCAAAACTAACTTGGCGAAACAACCAACTAGGAATTTAAATGTACACGAACATATTAGCTACAGTTTGCTCAATGAAGCCGGTGTACCTACTCCGAAATTTGGCGTTGCCAAGACTGCCGATGAGGCGGCCAAACTTGCTACCGACTTGAAAACGAAAGATATCGTCTTGAAGGCTCAAGTTCTCGCTGGCGGCAGAGGAAAGGGACACTTCAAAGGAACGAATGTCAGTGGAGTGAAGATGTGTGAAACGTAATTATGACGTATACAGATAATTTTATATGATATATATATTTGGAAATATATTATTGAACTTATTATCATCGTTTTTATGCAGTCCAGAAGAAGCTAAGTCATTAGCGAGTCAGATGCTGGGTAAATTACTAATCACTAAACAGACCGGCGAAGCCGGTAGGATATGTAATGCCGTGATGGTCACGCAACGCATGTTTCCTCGTAAAGAATACTATCTTGCTGTCATGATGGAAAGAGCCTTTGGTGTAAGTTTCGTGAAGAAACGATTAACAGATATTGACATTGCGTACAGAGAGAAGAATCTTATCAGATATTTTTTATTTCAGGGTCCCGTCATTATAGCTTCCAGCCAAGGTGGGGTTAATATCGAGGAAGTTGCTGCTACGAATCCTAGCGCTATCATGTACGAACCTATTGACATCGACAAGGGAATTACGAAGGAGCAGGCGGAACGCATAGTCAGCAAGCTCGGTCTCGATAACGTGAAGGATTACATTTCCAATATAATTATAAATCTTTACCAAATGTTCCTCAAAAAGGATGCCCTTCTTCTGGAAGTGAATCCTCTTGCCGAAGACATTAATGGGAACTGTAAGTCTGAGATCTCTATCTTTCTCTCTTCATGATATTTTATAACTTATAAGTATTTCATTCGCAAACTTATATTTTTTTACAGATTTTGCTCTGGATTGCAAGTGCCGATTCGATGACAACGCCGAGTTCAGGCAAAAAGAACTGTTTAGTCTCAGGGATTGGTCTCAGGAGGATCCCAAGGAAGTTGAAGCTGCGAAATTCGATTTAAATTACATTGCGCTCGACGGCAATATAGGTTGCATGGTGAATGGAGCTGGGTTAGCTATGGCTACGATGGATATCATAAAATTACATGGTGGTGAACCGGCCAATTTCCTCGATGTTGGTGGTGGTGCATCAACTTCTGCAGTGAAAGAAGCATTCAAAATCATCACTTCTGATTCACGAGTAAGTAATGTACACGTAATGTCACTATTTCTTTCTGTGATTTAATATACTTTATTTGTATTCTCTTTGTCTTTATATAGGTTCACGCTCTTTTAGTTAATATTTTTGGAGGCATCATGAGATGCGATGTCATAGCAGAGGGCATTATTGCTGCGACTAAGGAATTAAGCTTAAAAATTCCCGTCGTCGTAAGATTGCAGGTATTGCAGTATTTGTAATGCGCTTTGTTTCGCAAATAATTATGAAATTGTACAAAACATACGTTTCATGTTTTAACAGGGTACCAACGTGGACGAAGCCAAAGCTTTGATCGCCAATGCGGGTTTAAAAATCGTGCCAATCGACGATTTGGACGAAGCAGCCCGAGTCGCAGTGAAATTATCGACCATTGTTAAATTGGCGCAATCTGAAAATCTCAGTGTAAATTTCGAGATACCGGCAATTTCCTAGATGGTGAAAAAAATATATAGTTGATGCAATGTTATTGAAGAATATTGACGAGAATATACTCAATATTGTTAAAGTATTTCACAAGAAATCATCTGAAAATAATAACTACAATAATAACTTCATACATGTAATAATGTATTCTCGTTACAGAGTAACATTTCAAACACAATTCATTGATTCTTTGTGTAATTTGTAGAGTGAAAAATAATATATACAACCTTGGATATGTCTATATTACAAACGCGATATGACCATTGATATATTAAAATTCGAAAAACGGGCAAACTATTGGTGGATTATTATATGTACATGATATAATAATCAATTTTTTTTTTTTATTACAGATGCAAACGTTTATAATATCGTAAAAGTGTGTGGAATATTATTCAAAGATATAATTTATCATTTGCCCTACAGTAAGACTCTGTGATTCAGTATTAAGATATTAAGTTGTGTAATATAATACCCATCTTCCCTTTTAAGCAATCACGTTGCGCAAAGCCGTGTGTTTAAAAATAATGAAGTGTTATACACAGACACACACGCGTGTTCATTTTAAGGCGGAATTTCACGATAACCATCCCATGTGGAAAATAAAGGGCTTTGTTTAACGTAACATGTAGCGATATATATATACACTTACATAAATTATTTTATATAATTTTTGCTTGTGTCTTCGTTCCTTCAACGAATGACCGAATCGTATTCCTGAGTATGGTGCTAATGTCAGGAGATAATTTTATACGATTATATGCAAATGATCGTCGAAGAATTATATATATATATTATATGCATATTTATTTTCTCTGTGAACTCGTCAAATTGTATTTATGATAAAACCATCGATGATATTGCCAGTACCAAGTATCATGAGCGCTTTAAAAATTTCTGTAAATACACTGGGAACTGCTTGCTCTTCTAATCATTAAATGAGGAGATGTAAAACATGACTTGCGATTCTCGAAATTCTGTATTTGTTAAACAGATAATTTAATTCGAAGTGCTCGTACTCGTCACCTACAGATAATAAAATTATAGGATTAATATCAATGGCAATTTAATCTCTCTCGTACATACCTAAGTTTATATATTTAGAAGAAGAGATTTTATATACATTTTAAATATTATTATTTCGTATTTCGCGCTTTAGAAAAAAATCCCTTGGAATTGCTTTTGCGCAACCGATGCCTAATTTGGCCACACTGGATTTGACTGCGATTTCAAATTCCGTATTCCGTAACGATATTTTGGCAAGTGGCGAGGTATCATTTTGGAATTTCGTTTGTGCGATTTTGCGTTGGACAGTCTTTTCGAACTTTCACGTGTTAGAAACATGGTGAGAACAAAGGCGGACAGAGTGCCTGCAAAAGGTAGACTAAATAAAACAAAGACATTTTTGACAAATCTCTTTATTATTAACGAGTTGCATGCGCGAATGTTATTGTTTGTGTATGTTGTTTGTTTACAGCTGTAGGCAGCAAGGCGCCTGGAAAAATTAGCGCGGGTGCTGCTGGCAAGAAAAATAATGGCAGAAAAAGTACGGCATCTCTTTCATATATATATTCTTTAAATTCTTGGTAAATGATAGATAATAAATAAAACAAAATTTATATTCACAGGTGCAGGAAAAAGCTATGGAGGTGGAAATCCTTATCGTCCAAGGGAAACACCGGAATGGCAGAAACCCATCACTTCATTTATGAATATAAGTTCCACAACTACAAGTGACGCAACACCAACAAAAGAAAAAATTGTAAGTACTTAATAAGTTATGCTTATGCTAATCTTCTTGCTTTCTAAATTAATTTGTACATATAAAATACACACACACACTTCCTCTTACTTTAGGAAAATCAAGCTTCAAAGTCAAACTGTGAGGATCCGAATGCTGAAGAAAGCTCAACAGAAGAGGACGATGAAACTGATTAAAAAATTTCCATATCTTATTCCACTTTTCATATCTTTCTATTTTATTGTTAAATTATTTATGTATTTTAACTATCTAACTGTTATATTCTCTTATCATATTCATATAATTATAAGTAGTTAGGTATTATATACAGGTACAAAAAAGAGAAAACAAGATAAGTTTTTTATTTTACTGTCGTTGAGTAGCACTTTGTGTTCATTATTGTAATAAATGTTATTTTTGGAATTAATTGTAAATAAACGTTAGCGACTTTTTATCTGAAATCTTAATTTTTACAAGAGGTAAAAAACAAGAAAATTGTAACATACATATTTATTGTATCACGCTATTTTTAATTATTCAATGCAAAACAAAACAATTCGAATCTCACAACTCGATCAATTTTATCTTTAAACGCACGTAAATAAAACATCTTTCAAACGGTAGTCCCTCTCGATCGAGAATCGCTGTGAGAATGCAAGAATGCGAAATCGGAGAGCCTGATAATTCATCTGTCTTAATTCCAAATAGCTATATCGTAGTATATTATAATTGGCGGTCGATGAATCGCGTTAAAAATAGCGAAAAGTGCATCTCAATCCGGCATTATTTTTTCACGAGGATCTAAATATATACTCGCGTACGTATACAACATGACATATGTATGCATTTGCGTATATGCGCGGCGCACGCGCGTGCGAAAGACACTACGGGCGGCTTCCTCGTGGCGGCTTTAGGAACGCGAACGTTCAGTCAAAATTTCGGCATCGCATTGAGAGATGCTGCCGATAGCGGAGTTTCAGTAAAGGAGAGGAAAAGAAAAAGGGGGAAGAAAAAGTTCTGGGTACATTATATATCTCGGTTCGTGCGACTCTTCATCGAGGGAAGATTCGTCGGTATCGTCCACCGGGATCCCTTTGTTTTTCCTTTCGTTTTTTCGTTGCCTTACAAGACGCGCCGCCGGAGTTGCACCCGATCGTCGAACCGGCTGTGAGAAAAAAACTCCGCAACCATGGCTAGTGTCTCCTATCAAATAGCGAATCTGCTTGAGAAGGTACACGTAGTCGTGCACGTTGGCATACGCATAATATATGTATATAATAGCGATCGAAAAAAATGTCATTTACAGTCGATGCGTTTTATACGTGATTTCAATCCGTCATGGTATTTTCTTGATGACATAACCTTACTGTATTCTTCATGAATACGATCAATTCTTTATAATACTCGTTATGAATGTATTATAAAATGAGAATTTTTCTCTTTTTTTCTATATAATAATTTTTAATATTTTTTTTCACATATATTCTGAAAGTTTGAATATGTGAAATTATATCAGGATATTGTAACCATTTCCTATGTACCAAGTAATTAATATCTAATCAATTTCATTAATTCATAATTAATTGTATTT